GTATAGAGGAAACAACGAAAAGGAATTCAAATAATGCAGGTTTACCTAGAGGAGTGACAAAAAGTGTTCTGTTCAGTGTACACGTGTTTTCGCATGTGCTTGCTTCAAAAGTTAGTTTATGAACCTTCTGTCGAGAACCGTGATGACAGATTGTCCTACTGCTTTCTAAACTTGCCTGGCTACGGACCATTCTCTGGCGCTGAATGCGCCCGATCGGCATAAAATGCTGAGTTATGCTCTTTTACCGGCACAGTCATGTTCCTTTTCGATTAAAGTTTTCCAGACGAAGCCAGTCTCTCATTAACTGCTTAGGTGAAACCAGGATTTGGTAAAGAGACTTAGGAACCAGGATTTAGTAACCAGGTCATATCCTTCAAGAGGAAGGTAGATTGGTGTATTTTAAGGCGCTTGTGCGCTTTTGTCTGTGACAAATGTTGGATCTAGGCCCCGCCTCTGTCCGCTGCCTGTCCCACAGTACCATGCCCCTTTTTGGGGGCGTTCAGTCCTCTGTATCTTAAATGTGCATTGACCGAGCATTTTCTTACTGTCTGTACAATTTCTGTTTTTCTCACATACCCTTGCGAATTTGGCGGGCTTCTATTCGGTTCATTGTTATGTTTCATGCGATTTTTTCTTGATGCAGTAACTGCACACTGTGCTACTTCACAAAGCCTTTAATGCCCTCAGATAAGTCATTTCCTTTGCGAGAATGTTAGTGAATTTATATATTAGTATTGAGTGCAGTCCTCGAAATGTGGTTTGATTTGTTTGTTGCCACTGCTACTGCATGACTTATTTGTATATATTATATCATTTAACCAGCTTGTATCACCAACACGAAATTCTTACATTTTTGTTGAAAGAACAGCATCAGAGTAATGCAAAAGTAACAAGAAAGTCTGATGGTATCTACTGATTAAACGTCAACTTAATGTTGGAGTTTTATACCTATCGAGCTTATGGCTATGGTCTGACCTGCTCAACCAATAGAGAACTTTCATTCAGGATTACGTTTTAAAGCTCATTTTTAACCTTGAATCCCTTATAGGGATTAACCGAAAGGAATATGTTTATGCTACTTATTAACGGGCTTTCAGATATGCCAGTTAAGTGGCAGCTGTTTCTTGGCATCCGTGAATGTTGCGGCAGTCTGCTTCGATTTCGAAAAGAAGAATGGCAGGGTCGACGTGGAATTGAACACCGCTTTTCAGAATGCGTTCGACAAATCGGTAACATTGTGCAAATTATTTGCTCAGCGTATTAACTATCTTCGTTTCAGATTGATATCCATAGCTTTCTGTCACAGTTAATTGAGGAATCTCCGAATGCTGGAAGAATGGTAAAATGAAAGCATGAAATTTATCTAGTTATTGACCGTCGCGGTTTTAGCATTTGCATAATTTCTACACTATCACCGCGCTTTGTTTGGCCGTCTCGGTTCATGACATTTTGCAAAACTTCTCACTCAGTCCTCTGTTGCTGCCGCTTATGCAGTACCTGTTGAAGTTGATGTCTCATGTGCTGAGCGACTTGGAAACAGACACAGATGAAACGGTGCGACTTGCCTCTTAATTTACCACGCGTCACTTTCAGTTTGATGTTTTAGGCAGAATTGAGGGAGTTAAACTGCAGCACTGCGTGCACCAAGTGGCAGAAGTTTGATTTTATCAACCGCAGGATTCCGATTATTCCGTTCTTTTTCAAACTTGCCAGTTTTGCGCTGAAAAATGTACGTAAGTTTAGTGATTTAGCTTACATCTGTGTTAGATTATGGGACGAATTTGATCAAACTTTTTAAACTTATTCCGGGCAGCCCAGTCACCTGCGCATTGAACTGAGAGGCGAATTTACCCAGGCCCATTAATACCTCCTTTCAAAGCACATGATCGCTGCGTGTGTGAGATAAACGGGAACCTGCAGAATTCAGTGCCGCGTCATCGTATGCCGTCATATAGCAATCATCCGTTGTTCACAGATTAGACGGCATCCCACACAGTTTTGACTGTTTCTTCATAGTGTTGCTGGATCTTCTTTGCAGTTGCCAAGTTAATTTCGTAGCCAGTGGCGGCGAATTCATTGATCTCCCGAAAATGAGTTGCTCAGCGAACGGTTCTCGTTCGCAACTTAATAGACAACTAGCAACCAAGAAATCCGTGATTCCAGCATTCAAACTATAAGCGATTCAGTGTTGCATGTTGGAACCTTCGTTCCGTGCCTGGCAAAGGTAGGGTATATGATATCTGCCATATGGCCTTCGATAGAAACTCGATATCCTGGCGGTCGCGGAAGCTCGCCTCCCACTGGCAGGGACCACTGACCTTCAAGATGGGTGATCATTTTGTTGGTCGGACCACCTTAGATTACGCCGTTCCTGTGTCGGTGTCCTCATAGGATAAGCGTGGCGATTATATGAGTGGAACAGGCGTCAGTGAGAATCCTAGTCTCTCGCGTGAATGTCAAACAGGCGACGCGGGATGTTATTTTCCCTATTCTCTGACAAATCTGTCTAGTGACAGCGAAAACAAACGCTTTCTGTAACTGTCGTAGTCGCGGCTGATGGTGCTTTGTCGCCCAACGACGTCATAATTGTCAAGGTAATCTAGAGGCGAAGGTTGGCGCTGAGTTCAGTACATGACGAGGTGTATTTGGTCGTCATGATACTAACGGCGTGAATGATAGTAACAAACGGATCTGTTAGGCTTTTGCGCAGCAAACTGCTTAATTGTCTGCGGAACCCATTTTCCTCATAAAGATATTCACAAAACCACCCGGACGTCCCCAGATAGAAGCGTAAGCACCTAGTTGGAACACGTTTTCATCAACCGCAAATAGCGCAGCTCCTTATTGGAGATTCGCGTCAAGGGCGTGGCACTTGCATTGGGTCTGATCACCATGTGGTCGCAGTGAAACTTAGTCCAAAATCAGCCGTTGCGCATTGCTGAGAACTCAGAATACATACGCTTTTCGATGATAGCAGAGTAAAATATGACACCTCTATGCGATCGGCCTGCCAACGGGCTGAAGAGAATTATTCTAACGTCACCTTTGGTGCTCAGTCAAGAATTGGCAACGTCGAGCAAGGTTACAAAGACTTTAAAGAAGCGGATTTTTCATAAGAGTCGGGAAGAGAATAGCCAAATTGTTTCGGTTATGGTAAATACCCTAGCGCTTATAGTGCAAAGGAATCTGGCAAAAGGAAATATTCGCAGCACCCTACTGCACCCTCGAGG